CAGCTCCATGTCGCTCGCGCTGGGCACGACGGCGCGTGCCTTCAGCCATGAGCTACTGCACTTGATCGACTCCGCGTGGTCATGGAACTCAAAGGTTCTATTGTCACCAGGAGCGACAGAAGAGCTGTTGTTTTGGACAATGCATTTCGATCGTTTCAATGGCGCCCCATTCCACCAGAGTCAGCGTTTTGATGCCGTGATACACGTCGACGCAAGGCAAGCGCACACAGCTAGGGTGCCACCTTGGCCAAGTTCCCAAGTACATCATGCGAAGCAAGCGAGTGCATGCCACGAGGGCTTCTCACCACATCCAGTACGCGGCAACCGACCTGACGCTAGCGCTGTATCTCATCCATGCGCTCAACAACAAAGCAACTCTCTCCGCGATCAACCTCACGTGTTCGGCAGTTGCCTTCGCCCACCGCATGACCGGTGAAACCTCCCCTACCGCCGGCCCATTCACCCTGCAAGTGCGGGAGTTCGCCAAGAGACATGGTCCCCGGCCTACAAGGACCAAAGAGCCCATATCTCTCCATCAAGTGCACAACATGGCTCGTCCCTTCCTGGAATCATCAATTCCTGCGGAATACCAGAAAGGATTGATTCCTCTTCTCATGTTTTTGACATTCTTGCGCTACTCCGACCTCGTCTCGCTCCAATGGAATGATGTACAGTTCGAGGAGAAGGCTATGTGGCTGCTCATCCCGCACTCCAAGACGGACCAGGAAGGGAGGGGTGTCTGGATCCCAGTGGCGGCAATTCCAGGCCCATACTGCCCGGTGAGGTGCACACGCAAATTCATACACATCGCAGGCCTCACAAAGGTGCCACATGGACCGCTGATAAGGGTTTTCCCGAAGAACTCGCAAGCCACACCTCACGACAAATCGCCATCCTACGTTACGATCAGAAATTGGTGCCTCGAGGCCGGCAGGCAAGTTGGACTGGATGTCGCGCACATCGGAACCCACTCATTCCGCAAAGGCGCAGCTACTGCGGCGGCAAGCCTCGGAGTTCCTGACCGGCTCTTCAAACGCATGGGCCGATGGCGCAGCGACAGCGCGAAGGAGGTGTACGTTACAATCGCGCAAGATCAGCTCATCTCCCTCTCCACGAAATTGCAGGATCCTTCGACGGCTCCCTCACCCGCTACGCATCAGCGATCAATCGAACGGTACCGCCAGCCCCGACTGCACTTGCCTCAGAAGACCCATATGAAATGATAACGCTGCCTTTGCAAGTCAACCTAAGTACACTTTCACAATACAGGAATACTGAAATTTCAGGAAAGGCGAAAAAAAGAGTCTGAGATTTCAGACAATCAGACTAAATTAGTCTGATAAAATCAGCCCTGTTAGAAACCCCTCTGATTTGGATCATTATCTTGTTTACGGTACCATAGGTAGTCCTGACGCAAACGTCCAAGCTACAATAAAACTATATTTTTGTACACAATCAAATCCGCTCAGCAGCACCTAAACCACAGGAAACTCCACACCAAGAAGCCAGACACTTTTTATGTCAAAGCCTAGCCAGGCAGGCAATCAGACAGGTTGAGTCACGCTTTTACCCATACGCCCAGCCCATATTACTCTCTGCTCGAGGCACCACCGCCAATCACGCGGAGGGCGGCCCGACCACGGCAACCATGTACACGAAGAGCCCCACGATCACGCCGAATCCGGCGAACGTGAACCGTTGATCCGTCCAAACGCGCAGCACGCGCTTCTCCGTGACCTTGAGCGGATCCACCTCCTCCGACAACGGGTAGTCCATGCGCTGCGGCTCCCGCGACACGTACTGCTCCATGTGCGCGAACAGCCCGCCCATGGGCGGGGGCGACGGCGGAGAGGGCGCGGACGACGCCCGCCCGCCGCTGCTCCTATTGGCGCTGCTGCTGTTGAGCGCGCCGGGCTGTTGCTGCCGCAGGCGCTGCGCGGGCGAGGGACCGGCCTTTTTGTACGCCGCCCACGCATTGTCCCAGTCGGATGGCGGCTTCCACGCGTCTGACGTGCGCGCGTGCGGGGAACGGGGGACACGGGGGAAGTGGGGGATGTGCGGAGAATGGGGGAAAGTGAGTATGGGGACGTGGGGAAAGCGGAGACGGGGAACCGAATCCGTTGGAGAATGGGCGAATCGAGTGGGGAATTAGGCGGTTGGGTATAATTCATTTGTGGCTCCGCCACTCACCCTGTCCGCTGCCCTCGTTGCGGCCCTCGTTTCCGCCGCCCTGCGCACGCACCGCAACCCGGCGAGCAGGGAGCGACGGCATCGCGACGCAGCCGCTCGCAGTCGTCAGCGGCGAGGAGAGTGCCGCGAGCGAGCCGAGCGCATTGAGCGACGCCGCGGAGGTTGCGGAGACCGACGCCATGGCGCGAAGCGACGCGGCTGGGTTGAGAGAGGCAGGGGAATGGGTTATGTTGATATTCTCCCAGGAGATAGTGAGCTACGAGGGGAGCTGGGGAGGCGGTAAAGCCTTGCCACGAGGAGATATGAAGGGATCTGACGCGCCTCGCTGGCAAAAGGAACCTGGGCACGGGGGACACGGGGCCCGGGGTTACTGCGTGGCAACGTAGAGTCGACGAATTGGGGAAGTGTAGCCGAAGGGTGGGGCGTTGCAACCTGGGTGGAGGGAATAGGCGAGGAGGTGGTGTGGATATCGCGTGGTTTGGGTGCTTGGTTGGTTGCGGTGAGGCAGAAGCAGAGGTGGAGCGCACTTGGAAGGATGTACGCGTGAATGGAATGGAATGAACTAAAGTAATGTACACTCGTGTGGAGGAATGCGAATGGATGGGGCGCGCAAGCAGAGTTGCAGGTTTATGGAGTGATTTGGTGTGGTGAAGGTGCTTCCCGAATGGTGGGGAGATGTTTATGCGAGTGGTCCAGGCTGTACCCAGACTCCTGAGAAAGAAGTGACCAATCGTCGTTTCGATGTGTGACTCTGAGATCGTCTAGGCTGATATGGCTGTGTGTGTGACCTGCGGCTGTTGTGGAGGTATGTGGTTTTTTGGGCGGGAAACACAACTACTGGTAAGTCGAGGTTCCTTGAACCAACCACGTGGCAATGCGTGAACAGATACATTCGGCCATATAATCCACCTACACTCAACAGAAACTTGTAGTTGTAGCTTGCCACTAAAATATGTTCCTGGTTTAGATGGATGAGATGGAGCTGGGCCCCTTGAATGACCAAAGCCGGATGCATCTGCCTAAACAAGATAATGATCCAAATCAGAGGGGTTTCTAAACGAGGCTGGTAATAGCAAGTCCGTCCCCGTCCTTGAAGTACCTTGCAAGGTGATTCACGTAAGCGCCTTGCAAATTACACATACGTGCGGTTTTACCTCTTCGGTCCGACTCGGAAACATCTCAGAAAGGATTCGCGCCGGGTAGCTCATGCGGAGACCAAGTGCCCGGCGAGTTTTTGTCTCAGTCACCTGAGATGGAAACAACAAGCGATGGTGGGTACTTGGACACCACCGCGACCACCTCCTCGTTCATTGGTCTTTCCCAACTTCAAAGATTACCGGAAAATATTTTCTTGCCTTCGGATTGGTGACGGGAGCCAGATGTCGTTTGTACCACACACTACCGGTACAGTGACCTCACCAATATTTTTTCTTTGGGCTGCCCTCGCCTGAGCGACTTACAGCAAAAAAGAACTGACATATGTGTATGTGGAGCGGTTGACTGTTCTGTACAGGCATGGAAACAAGGGTACAGTCGATGCTCAGCCTATCACAAAACATTTGCTCACCACAATTAGAAAATTGACCATTGTGCCGATTTCGGGGTTCAGTCACCAAGTTGAGGAAGAAAAACATCTACAGTTCATAAACAACAACGGTTGCCCGTCATCTGAGAAGTTAACCTGGTTACGAAGTTAAAGCCCTTGACTCGATTCACGTTGCAATTTCATATTACTCTCACATTTTTGCCCGTGGAGACAAGGGCGAATGTGGCGAAGTGTCCCAAACACGTTTCGCACACATGCCGCCCGCCTACGTACTATTCTTGAAATGGGCACCTACTGTAGTTGTTGTGATTATTTCTAAAGGTTAACTGTACTGAACTGAATACTGTACAGTGGACCAGACAACCTCAACGGGTTGGGCGCCCCTTCTTGTTTCACAACGTGCCCTGAGATAGTTTTGTCCTCTTGCGTCGCCACCTCCCTACTGTTCTTCTGCTGGTTGGTGCTACTGTTCGCTTCAAATCGATGCCCGGGCAGGGACAAGCTTCTGAGCTGTGTAAACAGTGAGAATGAAATACAGCACATTCGTTCTCTGCGACTGGAAAATGAAGTAGAATGAGACAGGTTTTACCGCCTTATTCAGGAAAAGAAAATGGCAAAATCTTCCAGACCGCATATCGGCTGCAACCACAGAACACCCGTCTGTTTAGGTACAGTTTTTGCATATCATAACACCCTAATCGCGTGCCAAGCTGAAACTGATGCCCGCTTGCCCATTATTGCGCACATGCACAAAACACGGAACCACCACCTGCCGTGGCGGACATTCTCGTTTTCCCGCGTCTCTCATCATGTGCAAACCCCATGCCATTCGTGAATCAGAGGGCAGGTTCTGGTTCACCCTGAAACGTGAAAGGAAACAATCAATACGAACTGTGGTTTCAACGCACTGCACCGAAGAAAACAACGGAAACAAACCCCGCCGGCAAAGGAAGCAAGCTTGTCCACGAAATCCGTTCATCCCAGCCCAGCCAAGTCTTTCCTGCACTACAGCGCAGCACGCGCTCCATTCTAAAATGCGCAGAATCTGACCAACCCACCCACCTGACTGTTACCTTCCATATCATAGCTGTGTTGCACAAAAACTACCATTCCTTGTTCCTGTGGTCCATGTAGATGCAACCTAAGCGGCTCCTGAATTGCCGTCACCGTTAACAATGATCTCCTATTCCAATTACCAGCGAGCCGCTGAAGTTCCTCAGTAGTAACGTCCGGGCGACATCGCACGCACCGCAAACAGGCATCCATGTCGTCAACTTCCTTATCCGTCGCGCATTCCCTGTCATCAACGCAAGTAGCAGCAGCATCAGGAGACGGTCCAACGGCTCGAGACTACTCTAACCGCACCGCGTCCTCAATGTCCGCGTCGCCTCTCCGTCCTCGAACCCCGTTTCGCGGACCAAACACCCCCTCCCAGATATCCCAGTCCTTCGACGTCCCCAACTCCCCGTCCTCTTCCGCCATTCCCCCCCCTACCCCCGATGACGCCGCGCGCCGCCTCGCCATCCGCCTGCTCATGGGGACGAAGCCTAACGCCGAGTGCCTCTCGCCGTCGCGCACCCCTCGGGGGGGCGGGGGCGGAAGGAGCGAGAGTGGGGGCGAGCGGACGCACTGGCGCAGCTTCTCGATGAAGGAGCGGCGCGAAGGAGGAGACGACTGGTCGGCGCGGATTGCGGCGGAAAATACGGGTGAGAGCAGAGTCGGGACGAGATCTCCGGCGCCCGAGGGGAGCTGGCGGCTGATGAGCGCGCGCGGAGGGATGCGCGGAAACAGCAGTACGGATCTCGCGGGGTATGCGCGAATGCGGGGGGACGACGCGGCGGAGGCGGCTGCGTCGGGAGGCGAAGAGGACTCGGCTGACGATTCAGAGATGGACGAATGGGGGAGAGTGGGGGGCATGGGGGCGAACGGAGAGGGAGAGGATGGGGAGGAGGACGACGAGGGAGAGGAGGAGGACGACGAAGAACCGGAGACGCTTTGGCGACGAAGCAGCAGCAGCGGCACCCGACTGAACAGCAGCGCCGGAGGCGGCGAGGGCGGCGGGGGTGGCGGGGGCGGTGGGGCCGACTGGGACGACGGAGAGGTGACAATCAGGGTTGGGTCCAAGTGGTTTCCTATTTCCACGTTAGCGTCGGTTCCGCCGTCGCAGTCGCCGTCGCCGCCGCCTGCCGTCGCGGGCAGCTTCCACGATCGCGTGCACCTCGCGGAGGAGCGACACAGGCAGCTGCAGCTCCAGCACCAGCAACAGCAGCAGGAGAAGAAACATCAGCAGCAGGAGGAGGAAAAGCAGAAGAAAGCAGACATAAGCAGGGTGCGCTCCTTCCTCGAAACTCTTCAGCGACCGAAAACTGCGCCTGCCTCTCGAGCAGCAGATGCTGCCGTGAATGGCGGTAGCATCAGCAGTTCGGTTGAGAGCGGAAAAGGCGGGAATGGCAGGAATACTGCCGTCAGTAACGCCGCCTTAAACGGCGCCTCGAGCGGCAAAAGCGGCAGGACCTACCAGCAGAGTAACCTGAGCCACCGACAGGACCTCGACGGCTCGAACAGGTACGGCGGTAGCATTATGCGCCTCGAGAGCGACTCGTCGGACGACGGCCGCGCTGACGTGGCGGAGCGTATGGACAGCAGTAGCACAGACGGCGTCGGCGGCGGTGCCGGCGGCCGTCGCGGCGGGTCGAACAGCAGCGACAGCAGCAGCGACGGCAGCCCGCGATCGGCGGCGGCGACGACGGAGGAGGTGTGGGTGCTGTCGAAGCAGGTCGCGGTGCTACAGCAACAACTGGCCGACGCTTCCGCCGCTAACTGCGAGCTGCTAGGTAAGGATGAACGGAGCGGCGCGCGCGGGAATGGTTTAGGGAATAGGGAGGCGTTCAGGTAGTCCGGCCGGCCGGCCGGCAACCCTGTTGATGACCGACGGACATACGCGATAGGGCCTTTAGGGTGCTTCTCCCTGCCTTCCCTTCCGATATCTCTCCTCCGCACTTTCTCCCCTCCCCCGTATCCTAATCTTTCGCCATTTCCACGTGTTCCTTTTCGTCTATGCGCTGTAGATCGCGTGGAGCACAAGTCGCAGGCTTTAGCGGAGGCCGAGGCGCGTCTTAAAGACATGCAGCAGTCGCTGCGCGGAATGGAAGCCGCGTCTCGCGACGTGGAGGCCAAGCTGCGCGACGCGCGCGCGGAGGTGCATTCGCTGCGCGAGGCGCAAGCGGAGCGCGACGCGGCCTGCGCGGAGCGCGACGCGATGGCGGCGGAGATGGAGGCGGCGCTTAGCTCGTGGTCGCGCGCGCTGGAGGAGGCGAAGGACGCGCGCGACGAGGCGCGAGAGGCGGCGGAGGCGGCGGCCGCGGTGCGGCAGAAGCTGGCGGAGGCGGAAGCGGAGAATAAGAGGCTGTGGCAGGTGATGGACCTGCTGATGGCGCAGCAGAAGGCGCGCGGAGGGGGCGGTGGGGGCGGAGGCGGAGCGGGAGTTGGGGGTGGAGGGGGCGGGAAAGCATTCCTTGACGCACTAACTAGGCAGGAAGGGGGGAACGGAAGCGGCGCGAGTGGCGGAGGTATGAGTGCTGCTGGGCTGCGCTCAGTGCTAGAGTCACTGCGCGCCGCCTCTGGTACCGACTCTCACCGTTCCTCACCCACTCGCTCTGCTGCTGATTGCTACTCTAGGCCCGCTACTGCTGCTGCTGCGGCTTCTGCCTTGGCTGCTGCGGGCTCGGCTGCTCGGGCTGCCGCTGCTGCTGGTTCTGCTGCCGGCGGTGGTGTTGGTGGTGGGCGCTCCATGGGTGGTGGGGGGGGTTCTATGGACGTGCAGCAGCAGCTGCAGGCGCTGCTGCTGCAACGACAGCAGCGGCAGCAGAAACAGCAACAGCAACAGCAACAGCAACAGCAGCAGCAGCAGCAGATGCAGTTGCTGCAGCTGCAGCAGCAGGAACAGGGGGAGGAGCAATATTATCTGATGAACAACCAGCAGCAGCAAGATTGCCAGCAGCAGCAGCAGCAGCAGCAACAGCACCAGGAGTACCAGCAGCAGCATTGGCACGAAGAGAACCCTTACACTGGCAGCAGCAGCAGCGGCAGGCCGAACAAGCCAAGCACTACACCTAGACTGTCCTCCCTCCCCACGCATGCTTACCCGCCAGGAGCAGCAACAGGGGACTCCGTGGTGAGAGGCAGGTATGCGTCTGTGCGAGTGTCAGTAGCCGGATCAACAGCAGCAGCAGGAGGAGCAGGAGGAGGAGCAGGAGGAGGAGGAGGAGAAGTAAGGGACGTTTGTGGTGCGCCGGCAGTGGGACGTAGCAGCAGTGCCGGCATTGCCGGCAGTGTTGCAGGTGGCATTGCTGGTGGCTTTGGTGGCAGCAGAATTGCTCGGCAGCAGGTGCAGGAGCGAGGGGGGGTGAGATTGGGGTATGGAGAGAGCAGTGCAGCAGCAGCAGTGGTGCCAGATGCAATGCGTGTGGCTGGGCTTGAGAAGGGCATGTTCTGTGCCTGCTAGTGCACCCTGCATTCCAGATGCCAACGCTCCTGTGCATAGGTGGAGTTGAGCTCTTGCCTTGCCGGGCTGATGAGCAGTGTGCAGTCTGTATCTTGGGCTGCTGCTGCTGCTGCTGCTGCTGCTGCTTCTGCTGCTGCTGCTGCTGCTGCTTCTGCTGCTGCTGTGATGCAAGCTCGACGCAAGGCTCTGGACAAGCAATGGAAGATGGAGGTTGGATGAGGGCACTGGCTTGTGGGGTACACAGTCCACACAGGTGGAGTGCAGGGATGGAAGAATGGACGGTATGCTGGCAGGCAGGCACCATTACCAGTACCGTACCGTAGTGTGTTGGAAGGATACAGGTAGAATCTGTTAGGCAATTTTAGTTGTACTCTACGTAGCATGTAGACAGTGTACGGAAGCTGAGCAGCGATTTGTAGTGTAACTCTCAGCCTAATACGTTTTAAAAGTGCTAGGTGCAGAAAGGATGGAAATAATGATAGCTTGAACTAACTTGCATCCATGGAGCATGGAATTGACAAATGTGAAACCTGTACAATAGAAAGGGAAAAGAGAGAAGTTCAGGGAGCACAGCAGCTCCTGATTGAAAGAGAGAGAAGAGAGCCAAGCGGGCCATCAGGGAGGCTGCTAGCACACGCATATTCCAGGCCATGCCCTAAAGTAACCCATCTCCCGACCTCCACCTCCAGGCTCCCGCCATCACCCACGCCCTTCGTTTCCGCCCATCCAACCCAGCACCCGGCCCATCCATCACCCCCTCCCCCCACTCTGCAGCTGCGCGAGCCTGCACGTGCGCTACCGCTGCTGCTTGCGGAGGAACTGGGTGAGGCGGTAGCGACGGCAGCACTGCCCCACACATGTGCCTGCCTGGTCTTCTTCCCCGCTCCCCCCCTCCCCCCCCCCCCCCCCGCTCCCTCTGCCACTGCCTGCGCCTGCACGAGCGCTACTGCTGCTGCTGGGCGCGGAGGAACTGGGTGAGGCGGGCTTTGAAGAGCGCGGGCACGCGCGTGGGGCGGTATGCCTTGTCCAGAAACACCACCGTTGCCTGCCCCTGTAGCACCCGCTGCTCTCAGCGAGTGTGCACGGGAAATGGGGAGGTGAAATGGTGGGGAGGCAAGGGGAGGCAGTTTGAGGCGACTGGGAAGGGTGAAGGGGTTGAGATGGGTGAAGAAGGTGCGGTAGATAGGAAGTGGGTGGCGATGTGGACAAAGAGGTTGATGGTGGCATGGTGGGATAATGAGATGATGGGGTGATGAGATGATGGGGTGATGAGATGATGGGGTGATGGGGTGATGGGAAGGACGGTAGGACAGTAGGATGGTAGGTGGGATGGTGGGACGGTGGGTGGAGTGCATGTGCTGCGCACCTCTCTATCCGGCAGTCTGTAGATGGTGTGCTCTATGAACACTCGTGCTGCTGTCTTCTTTCGAGACGTCTCAAAAGTCGGTATGCAGTGCATACATGCAAGCGCACCTCTCTATCCGGCAGTCTGTAGATGGTGTGCTCTATGAACACTCGCGCTGCTGTCGTGCCTGACACTCGCGCCGTCACCACAAACTCATCGCCACTCTGCGTGGTGTGGTGTGGTGCGAGGGCAGGGGGTGGGAGGGTGGGCGGAGAAAAAGGGAGGTACGGAATAGCATCCGCAGTGCGTTGAGGAGCTTGAGAGGCGAGCTTCAGAAGTCCACCCACAAGCCAAGCCAGCAGCACCCTGCCCTGCTAGGAACTCCCCACCCCAACCCCCCCTTTAACCCTCCCCCCTGCGACTCACGACGCACAGGGCGCTGAGGTACTTGAGAGGGCGAGGGCTCAGCCAGCGAGGGCGAGGGCTCAGCTCCATGGTACCACACCCCTTCCTTCCCCACCCTCCCCTTCCCTCCCCCCTCCCTTCCTCCCCCCCCACGCGGGGACTCACGCGCAGCGCGTTGAGGTACTTGAGAGAGAGCTCGGCGAGGGCGAGGGCGTCCCCTGTGCGCGCCACCTCGTCCGCCGCCAGCCCGATGGACGCCAGGAACTCATGCCGCGCTGCCATGTGTGCACGTACATGCCATGGTGGTGGTGGTGGTGGTGGTGGTGGTGGTGGTTGGGACGAGAGTGGGTGGGAGCAAAGGGGTAGAGCGAGACGTGAGATGGAGAGAGGGGGAGCAATGGTGGCATGGTATGGTGGGTAGGGTGGGTACTAGCAGACGATCATTCTGCAAGGCGAGAGCGAATTCACAGCGGACATAGGCAGCAGGTGGGACTGAGGGACTGTGGGACTGAGGGACTGTGGGACTGAGAAACTGAGAAACTGAGGGACTGAGGGACCGAGGGACGACGCGCAAGAATCCCATGCCATACGCCTCTCACCCTCACCGTCTCCCCCCACCCCTCCTCCCACTTATCCACTCCCTTGTTCCCCCCGCACCCCTACTCGTCTCATTCCCCCCCAACACTCTCGTCTCCGCCCAACTAACTCCTCCCTCCTCCCCCCAGCACACCCCTTCCCTCTCCGCAGTCCCCCTTCCTCCCCTTGCTGGAGCGGGGCAGGGGCCGAGTCAGGGGCAGGGACAATTTTTGAGGCGCCTCAAGAATCGGCAGGGGCGGGGATTTTTTAGGCGCCTGAAAAAAGGGCAGGTGGGGGGGGGGGAGCGGCGGGGGCGGGGGTGGGGGCGGGGGCAGTACCGTGCTGGCAGTAGCTGGCGTAGGTGGCGTTGTTGACGACGCGGTACTGGTCCAGCTCGTAGTCTCGCACCTTCATCGCCACCTCGTATGGCTCCCGCATCCTGGTCGCAGCACCGCCAGCGCCAGCGGCAGGGGGCACGGGGCGCGGGGCACGGGGTAAGGGGTAAGGGACAGGGGAGAATATGGGGAGGCAGGCGAGCGAGGAGGTAGGTGGGAGGTGGGTGGGAGAGGAGAGCGGGGAGAAGGCAGAGAATGGGACAGAGGGGGAGGCAGTCCAGACATTGTCGTTCGGCTTCTCATCCTTCCACTCCGTGCGCAACATTCTCTTCCATCCAACCACTGCATCCCTCAACTCCCTCACTCCCTCCCTCCCTCCCTCCCTCCCTCCCTCCCTCCCTCACTTCCTCCCTCCCTCCCTCACTCCCTCGCTTCATCCCCCCCCTCCCCTCCCATCCCTCCCTCCCTCCTTCGCTCCCTCCCTCCCTCGCTCCCTCCCTTCACTCACACACTCACTCATCCACTCACTCACTCACTCCCTCACTCCTCATTCGCTCACCCACTCACTCACCCACTCACTCACTCACTCACTCACTCACTCATTCACTCACTCACTCACTCACTCCAGGCTGCCGAAGAGCTTCGCGACTTGGAGATCGACTCCCCCGTCGGCCCCATCCCCGCCCTCCGCCCTCACCGCCACGTGCGCTGGTCTACACCCCCCGCCAATGCCGCGGACGGCCGCGGGGAAGCCGCGCGGAGGGCGGAGCTCCGCCGGCGAAGAGCGGGAAGGTCTGAGCGCCGATTGGGGGGAATGCGACGGGGGAAGGGGAACGCGAGCAGCGTGCGCCGATGCCCGCACGGCGGAGAAAAGGCGCGGGCTGTTCGGGGCGAACGAAAGGCGGAGGGAGGCGCGCACGGGGGAAACAGCGGAGGATATCCGGGGAAGGGGAATGCACGCCATGTGGCAAGGCTTGGTGCTGGGCTGGGGAGGCCGAAGGGAAAACTCGACCCCACGTGGTATGATCTAGTTGGGCAGAAGTTGGGAATGGTGGGGCGGAAGGACGTGAGAAATTGGAGGATGATGACTGGAAGTGGGAGACGGTATTGTGGTTTGGTGCTACTGTAGCGAGTATGCAATGTTGGGTAGCTGCGAGCTACACTTGTAGACTGTTTTCTTTACAGCCTGAACCGTTCATCAACACCAACTGTTGGTACACTGTAGCTTATTTCCTACACGAATTGAATAGGTTGTGTTGGCCAGCTGATTATTGGTATCGTGCAATGCATTAGGAGAGTGGATGCAAGTGAGACTGAGTTACTATTAGTAACTCCATAATAATGCATAGAAATACATTTAGCGGACATGGCTACTACCAGACGGCCCTAAAACGCCTAGAATATATTGGTCATTGATACAAGACAGACGTACAACGCATCAAGATTATCTGAGAAGAATGCATCGGATACGGGTGGCATGCAGGGGAGGGAACAAACCACGGGGAAAATGGGGAAAGATGAGGGCAGACGAGGGACAGCGGGGAGGGGCGGGGTGGAATGGAAGTCTGGTTGGGGAGTCCTGGGTGGTGCGGCCCTTATTCAAGATACCATCTTCTTGCGAAACGGACGGGAGGCCTCGACGACGCGTTTCATGGCGGCGAGTCTCTGCAGTCGCACAGTCGGCCTCGTGCGACTCTCAAACTCAGACGAACGCCTTTTCGCCTGTCGCGCTCATCGTCTTGCGCTCCGCAGTAGTTTCCGACACAGTCGCGGCGATATCGTTCTCGCGCTGTACCGCAACCATTGATTGCTTCTCAGGCGCCATCCGGCGCGACTGCCACGAGCTGCCGGCGGGAATCGCGGCTGCGGCTTGGGACGACCTGGCGTGCGGACGCAGACGCAGCATGGAGGTAACAAGCGGCGCGGGCACGATCACGCCGCCCATCGAGTGCACAACGACGTTCCGCGTCGTCAGCGCGTTAATATCCTTCACGGGCACGCTCCCCGCGTAGAAATAATGCGGGTCCATGGAGAGAACTATAGCCGATCCGGTGGATGACGTGGCGGCGCCGTTCCAGGCGAAGAGAGAGACGCTGTGGGGGACGAAGTGGTGCAGGAGGAGCTGTCGCAGCGCCGCGCGATTCTCGGGGAGCACGAGAGTTTCGATGCCCTCTTGGGAGATGTGTTCTGATATGCCTGCGTTGGTGGGCGCTAGGACAGTGACGGTGCTCGCTCTCGCGATCATGCGATCGATTTCAGGGCCAAGGTTTGCGTGCGAAAGCAGCCTGGCAAAACTGGTGTAACCTGACGTGGATAGCTGTGTGACAAAAGAAGCGTGTGCGAGAGACAGGGATAGGGACGCCAGGAGCAAGATCGCGAGACAGCGTGCAGCCATTTGCGCCTCCGTCGTGTGACCGCTCAGCAAGTGTATGGAAAACGAAGTTTTTTTTTTGTGAGTTGCGCAAGGAGCGAATGTCTGCCGCTTTCGATCCTAAGATGCCAATGTAAATCTTGGTTCGCTTGTCAACTCAAGCCGCTGATCAGTTACTCGAGTTTTGAGTTTGAATGGACGTCGGCGCGAGGGGTTGAGTTGAGTCAGGACTCAGGGACGGTCGCAACTCGCGGACAACGCGCTCAGGTTGCATAGTATGGGCAGGAACTCTGTGAGTGCGTTTTCTTCCAGGAGTGGAAGCAGCTGGTGGACGCATGGCCGTCGGTTTCGCCCCGATTTCCGTGCTTGGCATTGACGGATGGGTGCTGTTGGATGTATGGTCGAGCGACGGACGCGACGGGAATAACGCACACATGAAAAGTGTACACCATGCCTGCTGCGTCGAACTTCACGGTGCACTCCTGCACAGTGTTGGAAAAATCTGCGCTTCGGATTCCCGCTAAATTCAGCAGACATTCTTGGAGAATCCGATTGGACGGAGGAATTCCTGCGGTAGAGATTGGACACCGTCCATCGCCGCGTGCAACGGAGAAACAAGCAGGTTCTTTTTGGAAAGCATTCTCCCTGGCGGTCAAACCCAGTCTCGCCTGGCCAATTTCCTGAGGATGAAAGCTTCCCTTGTGTACAGTGTATGGAATTTCGCCTGCGCGTTTCCCGGGTACTTGCAGACTGCAAACCAGATGCATTTCACCGACAACGAATGCATGGAAAATGTGTGGACCTGCTGAAACTGCGCCCCATCTTGCAGAGCACCTCGTTATTATACACACAAACAGAAGACATTAGCATGAAGACTATAGCTGGACAAAGGCGATAAGAGAATCTACATATTTTCTTCCTAATCACGCAATATAACGAAGCACTCTGCAAAATGCTCACAGATATTTCGGCGATAGTTTTGGGCTAGCACAGCCTCCTAAGTTTAGCGCCTAGGCCAAGCGGCAGACCTGATTCCAACGCAGCACAAAGGAGTGGTGGGTTTTTCTTCCGAATTTTCGAAGTCGCCATGGCGACGTGGATGCGCTAAGCCATGAACCGCCGTGTGTAGTACGCGTTTTAGTGTCCTATCCTGCCGCCCCTTCAGGCAACACGGGGCCGCGGAAGCAAGTTCGAGTATTACTACGAGCCGCGCCTCACTCGAACAGGCAACTCTGGTTCGTGGCGGCTTCCACCCCGCGACGCGAGCCAATCCAGTGCCGGCAATCGCGGTGGCGAAAACCATCCTTTGAGGAGTCTCGAAGCGCGCATCCTCCAGGCGAGCGCCAGTGCATTCGCTCCAGCGGAGCATTCGCCGCGCGAACGAACATCCGCGCATTGGGGGGCCATATCAACATCCCGTCTCGTCTCGTCTCGTCTCCTTTCCTCTTGCCTCGTCTCTTCGCTTTGGGGGTGTCGGCATTCAGTCGCGATGGCGCGGTTGAGTGGCGGTGCGCTCGTGGCGGCGATGCTGCTCGCCGCCCTCGTGCCTGGCAGTCGCTGCGCTTCCGCGCAAAAGAGCAACCTCTTAGGTACGCTGCTGTGCCGCGCCGTGTGACGCTGTGGTGTGCTGCTGCACGTGCGTGCGTGTCTGCCTCTGTGTGCACGCGCAGGCGCGCACGCGTGTATGTCCGCATGTGCATGCGCTTCCTTGTGTGTGCGCGAGCATGTGTGATGCGTATTCCAATGCCCCCATGCCATCCCGTGCCACCCGACCCCACCCCACCCCACCCCACCGCACCCCACCCCACGCGGGCGCAGGCGAGGTGATGGGGGAGTTGGCAGCGGAGTGGGCCAACAGCAAGCTAGCGTCGCTGACATGCCAGACCGCCCCGGACGTGCTCCTGTGCAACGACCAGGGCCAAGTGGTCTCCATGTACGCACCCCCATGCCCATGCCCATGCCCATGGCCATGCCCATGCCCATGCCCATGCCCATGCCCACGCCCACGCCCGCGCACACACCTCACTCATTCATTGCACTCCATGTCCGTCTGTGCCTAGCCTGCGTCGCCCCGGACGTGCTCCTCTGCAACGACCAGGGCCAAGTGGTCTCCATGTACACGCTCCATATGATGTCACATCACATGCCCGTGCATCGTCATATAGGTGTACTGGGTGGTCAGCACAGCACAGCACAGCACAGCATCGTGTCTTGTGTGAGCTCCAAGTCACCGCCATCCATGCATGCATTGTGCCAGGCGACAATTTCAAGCCTGCGCCGGCCCCCCTGAGACCCCTTGCTCTCCACTCCTCTCCACTCCTCTCCACTGCTCTCCACTGCTCTCCACTGCTCTCCACTGCGTTCCACTTCCCTCCCGTGCTCTCAACGTCACCTCTCATGCTGGTGCTCTGCTCTCCTCCTCCACCCCCAACGCAACCAATTGTGCTGGAGCGAGGAGCAGGCAGCTGGACGGAGTAGTGAATCCATTGACGGGCGGGGGGGATACGGTTCGGCTCCCCACCATACCTGCGCAAATCGGCAACCTCACCACCCTCACCTACCTGTGAGTAACCCCCTCCCTCCTGCCGCTGCTTGAGTAGGACTCGCTGCGTCCTCCATGCCCATGCCCATGCCCATGCCCATGTCTATTCCCGCACCAGCACACTTATCGAGTAGAGGAGTGCCACGTGGAGCTATCCCCCCGCCTCACAAGCATGCTCATTGTGTTCCCATGCCAGCATAGTTGGTCGGTTGCTGCTCCGCGGCTGTGCTGATGCTGTTGTTCGTTTGTGTATCTGGCTGTCGTATGTATGTGTGTGTGAGTGCATGTGCATGGGCATGTGCATGTGCATGTGCATGGGCATGTGCATGTGCATGTGCATGTGCATGTGCATGTGGGCATGAGCAGGAGCATGGCAAGCAATTTTCTCGCAGGCACTGTGCCAGAGTCATTCAGCAACCTCGTTCAGCTGCAGTTACTGTATGCTCGCACACACACACACACACACACACACACACACACACACACACACACACACACACACACACACACACACACACACACACACACACACACACACACACACACACACACACACACACACACACACACACACACACACACACACACACACACACACACACACACACACACACACACACACACACACACACACACACACACACACACACACACACACACACACACACACACACACACACACACACACACACACACACACACACACACACACACACACACACACACACACACACACACACACAACACACACACACACACACACACACAACACACACACACACACACACACACACACACACACACAACACACACACACACACACACACACACACACACACACACACACACACACACACACACACACACACACACACACACACACACACACACACACACACACACACACACACACACACACACACACACACACACACACACACACACACACACACACACACACACACACACACACACACACACACACACACACACACACACACATAGGATGCCCTTCCCAACTCTCTCGTATGCAAACTGCTCAAACACTATCCTTGTTTTTTTTTTGAAAATGTTTCTTGCATGCACACACATGCGTGCGTGCATGAATGAATGCCCATGCACGCATGCTCGCACGCACTCACTCACCCACCCACTCGCGGACACACTGCCTGCTCCTCTGGCAGTGATAACGCTTTCTAAGTCGACTAGGAAATTTATTCACTCACCCGCCCACCCGTGCGCCTGCCCGCCCACCCGTGTGCCTGCCCGCCCACCCACACACTGCGTGCTCCTCCGGCAGGGACCTGAGCGCCAACGTGATAAGGAAGCCCATCGATGCCATCATGACCCTCACTGCTCTCACCTTCCTGTGAGCCTCCGCCCCCCTTCCTGCACTGCACTGCACTGCGCCCCCCACACGACCTTTGACACGCCGTGTAAGCGGACTTAGAGTACTGATCCTCATTCTTTCCTGCTCTCATGTACCTGCCAGCAGCCCCCTGCGCTCCCTCTCAGCAGCATCCCAACGCCACATTTTCGCATGCTGTTCGTCTTTCTCTCACCCACCGACCATAACCGAGTGCTGGAGTATAGATCCTCTGCTGCTGCCCCACACAGTAGGATGTGTGCTGTGCTGTGCTGTGCTGTGCGGTGCGGTGCTGTGCGGTGCTGTGCTGTGGCTGGTGACAGGAACGTGAGCTACAACGACATCAGGGCACCACTGTCGCCAGGCATAGCCAACCTGCAACAACTAGTAACCCTGTGCGTGCTCCACACATGCTCCACACATGCTCCACACATGCTCCACACATGCTCCACACATGCTCCACACATGCTCCACACATGCTCCACACATGCTCCACACATGCTCCACACATGCTCCACACACCCTCCACACACCCTCCACACACCCTCCACACACCCTCCACACATGCTCCACACATGCTCCACACTCTCTCCATGCAGCCGTGCACTGCCGTCACTCATCATGCCCTCCGTGCTCCTGGCCGCTTCCCTGTACACTACTCCCACACCCTCCTCCACACGCACTCCTGCATTTCGGAGGACTTTTGACTCGAATTTTAACCGTTTCCCCATACAGCACACCCATACCATACCCGCCTCTGCTCTCCTGCGTGTCTGACGGTCTGACCCATCGGGCTTGTGCGTGCGTCTGTGCGTTCTCGTGCTTGCTCTCATCCTCGCTGCTGCGCTTGTGCGGGCTGATGTAAAGCCTTATGGGCTGATGTAAAGCCTTATGGGCTGATGTAAAGCCTTATGGGCTGATGTAAAGCCTTATGGGCTGATGTAAAGCCTTATGGGCTGATGTAAAGCCTTATGGGCTGATGTAAAGCCTTATGGGCTGATGTAAAGCCTTATGGGCTGATGTAAAGCCTTATGGGCTGATGTAAAGCCTTATGGGCTGATGTAAAGCCTTATGGGCTGATGTAAAGCCTTATGGGCTGATGTAAAGCATTATGGGCTGATGTAAAGCCTTATGGGCTGATGTAAAGCCTTATGGGCTGATGTAAAGCCTTATGGGCTGATGTAAAGCCTTATGGGCTGATGTAAAGCCTTATGGGCTGATGTAAAGCCTTATGGGCTGATTTAAAGCCTTATGGGCTGATTTAAAGCCTCGCAGCTGCTGCGCTTGTGCGTGCGTCTGTGCGTTCTCGTGCTTGCTCCCATCCTCGCTGCTGCGCTTGTGCGGGCGAGCAGGGACACTTCGGGCAACAGCTTGACAGAGGTGCACGGCCTCTCCACCCTCACCAACCTGCAATCCCTGTGAGAGAGAACGAAAAGACAGAGGAGGGAGGGAAGGGAACTAGCACGGGTCATGTGGGCCTGCCCGTGGCAGGCGCCAGGCGGGCGGGCAAGCGACGACTAGCGTTGGTTGTTTGTGTCGTACTTACTTACTTACTTACTTACCAAGAGAATGCTCGCATGCCACGTTCTGGTGCAGGAACGCTTCCGTGCCGAGGTTTGGGGCGCCTCAAAAGGTACAAGACAAGACCATGCCAGCATGCCACTTGCTGCTGCAGGAATGCTTGCTTGTGTGACAATGCAATGCCATGGGCCTTTGCAATGACACGCAGTGCAGCCTCCTCACCTGCCCGCACTCCCTGTAGCAAAATGGGGCTCTGAATTGGAGTGCTAACGCACACCTCAATCGACTCACATCACATGTGCGTTTGTGAACTCAGCATCAGGTGCTGTCAAGGCATTGGTGTTCCTCCCCTTTTTACCTTGTTGCCTGTGTGCCTGTGTGCGTGTGGGTGGGAGATGCAAACGCACAGGGTCATTCAGGAGTGCGACATAGGCCCTGCGTCTCTAACGATCTTCGCCCCATTGAAAGCCTTACAGGACTTGTGCGTACACACCCGCCTCTCAACCGTTCCATGCTTTCTCAAGTAGCCGTAGGAACATGCTGCGGCCTGGGGGCTTGACGTCAGGGGAGATTTACGGGGAACTTCAGGTTTAGGGGACTACACGAATGGGGAGTGGGCATCTCCGGGAAGACTTTTGAGGCGCCTCAAAAGTCATGTTCAGGGGAATCTACTAGCAAGGAGGGAGTCTTTCCAGTAGAAGCTCTCTCTCGCTCCAATAGCACCACAATGAACTCCCCGGACGGACCCCAGGTGAGAGTTCTCTCTCCTTTGTTCTCTCATTTCCTTTGCACTGTACGTTCATACGCTGCACCGCACACTCATACGCTGCACCGCCCGCTCGCACGCTGCACCGCACGCACATTCACAAGCCCGTGGCATTGCATTGTCATTCAAGCGAGCATTCTCTCATTTCCTCTCTCCTTCACTCTCTCCCTCCGTCTCTCCCTACCATCTCGCTTTTCCTCTCTCCTTCCATGTCCCTTTGCCCGAAATTTCTCACCTTCCTGCTCTCCTTCCCTTGCTCTTTCATGTTCTAAGCGGCACAAATAGTGACTTCTCGAAACTCTTCCTTTGTGTGTCCTGCCTTCTGACATGACTACACAATCAATCCCCCCGTGTGCATGCTCAGGGTCCTGTACAACAACTCGTTTGAAGGCTCTCTTAGTGCCCTCTCAACACTCAATAGCCTACAGCACCTGTGAGATCCTCACCCCACCTCACCTCACCTCACCTCACCCCACCTCACCTCACCTCACCTCACCTCACCTTTTAACACCTGTGTGACCCTCCCCATCACCCGTTCCTTTTTAACCTGTCACCCGTGCCGCTTCCGCACTCAATCGCACACCATACCACACACACTAACAACGGCTGCCGATCACAGCACATGCCACCACCCCCTTTGGTCGCATCGCATGTACCGGATCAATCGATGAGATTGTGATGTGATGAGATTGTGATGTGATGAGATTGTGATGTGATGAGATTGTGATGTGATGAGATTGTGATGTGATGAGATTGTGATGTGATGAGATTGTGCACACCTGTTTGTTTGTTTCTTTTTTCACTTATTGCTGCTTCTTTCATTCTCTACTCCGGTTCTCATCTGGCAGTAACTTGGCCTACAACAACGTAGGACCAGACGTACCAACCTCCTTATCCCGCCTCTCCAAGCTCTCCTACCTGTATGAACGGCGCAGTGCGTGCACACACACACGCACGCACACACGCAGGCGCACGCACGCACGCGCACGCATGCACGCACACAGGCACAAACACACAGACACACACACACACGCGTGCGCGCACGCGCGCGCGCACACACACACACACACACACACACACACTCACACACACACTCACACAGACACACACATGGCCAAAGAGTGCAGAAATATCACAAGTTGCGGAAGCTCCAGCGATCCTACCGGGGGGCATTGGTTCCTGATGGGGCTGCTGATGGAGATGAGTGAAGTCAGTGGCACAGCACACTCGTGAGGCTCCTGATGGAGATGAGTGAAGTCAGTAGCAGTGTTGTCCTGATGCAGTCACACTCGTGAGGCTCCTGATGCGGTCACAGTGCTGTCACTGGCTGCATTGCTGGCTGGCTTGCTTCTGATGGGTACTTGTTGCCGGTATTTGAGCGCGCTATGCACATGGAGATGGGTTGGAACGGAAATGCCCACATGCCCATATCCTTCATGCCCACATGACCATGTGCCCCCATCCCCACGTGTTCGCATGCCCATATGCTCTCCATACCCCCATGTTCACTCTGTTGACTGCCGCCTTTCACACACGTGCTTTCAACTCAAGACAAAGCCGCGTCTCTCAGCCGTTTATTCATGTAACACGGTGTTTGCTACACACGCACGCACACACGCACCCCACCCCTTCTTTCCCCCCCCCAACCCTCCCACACACACATTCTCCCCATCCCAACAGCGACCTTTCATCTACTCTCCTGAGTGGCCCTATCGAGCCGCTCACAACCCTCCCTGCACTGAAAGGCCTGTCAGTATTCTTGCTCGTGCTCCTGTTGCTTGCCGCCACTAAGCGTTCTTTGCATGAGCCCATCCATCCATCCATCCATCCATCCATCCATCCATCCATCCATCCATCCATCCATCCATCCATCCATCCATCCATCCTTCCATCCATCCATCCATCCATCCATCCATCCATCCATCCATCCATCCATCCATCCATCCATCCATCCATCCATCCATCCATCCATCCATCCATCCATCCATCCATCCATCCATCCATCCATCCATCCATCCATCCATCCATCCATCCATCCATCCATCCATCCATCCATCCATCCATCCATCCATCCATCCATCCATCCATCCATCCATCCATCCATCCATCCATCCATCCATCCATCCATCCATCCATCCATCCATCCATCCATCCATCCATCCATCCATCCATCCATCCATCCATCCATCCATCCATCCATCCATCCATCCATCCATCCATCCATCCATCCATCCATCCATCCATCCATCCATCCATCCATCCATCCATCCATCCATCCATCCATCCATCCATCCATCCATCCATCCATCCATCCATCCATCCATCCATCCATCCATCCATCCATCCATCCATCCATCCATCCATCCATCCATCCATCCATCCATCCCTCCCTCCCTCCCTCCCTCCCTCCCTCCCTCCCTCCCTCCCTCCCTCCCTCCCTCCCTCCCTCCCTCCCTCCCTCCCTCCCTCCCTCCCTCCCTCCCTCCCTCCCTCCCTCCCTCCCTCCCTCCCTCCCTCCCTCCCTCCCTCCCTCCCTCCCTCCCTCCCTCCCTCCCTCCCTCCCTCCCTCCCTCCCTCCCCTACGTTGCCAAATACGCTCTGGGTAGGGTGGCGTACCACGTATATACGATTGCGTACGTACGTGGTACGCTAATACGCTTCGAATTCGTGAAAAAACGCGCGGGCAGCCCGGCGAAAAAAAAAATCGAAATTGAAAAAAAATTGTGACGGTTATTAGGGCTTCGCGACTGGTTACGCGACCAAGCACATCGCCCAACCCACGTCTGAAATTCAAATTTCAGAATCCAAACCTCCCACCACCCCAACCACACACCACCCCACCAAACCTCTCATATCCAACCACCCCTCTCAAATGTCCAGCACGTCATGTGAGCATTTACTCGTTGACGCCTTCCTATCCTTCATTCGTTTCTCTCCTCCTCAATTTCATTCCCGAGCTCTAATCTCCCGTTTTCCTCAAGCAGTTTACCGTTCCTTAGTCGCGCCCCATGGCGTCGAACTCCACCCCTCCTAGCGCGACGAGCAATGTAGCTTCTGGTCACGCGTCTAGTAGTGCGATCAACACGCAGCCTGTTGAGGCTGGCCTTTCGAACCCCATTCTGAAACATTTTCTTATTCCCCCCCACACCAAAGGCAATCCCAAGCTTTGTAAGTTTTGTGGCTTCAAGTTTGAGGGCAGAACCACTCGCTGCCCAGTTCACCTCGCCAAATGGAAAGGGCAAGATGGACGCCCTGTCAGGCTTTGCAAGGACGTGTCCCCGAAAGTCCGTGAAGAAGTGCGTGCCATGTACGAAAACAAGGAGGAAAACAAGAGCATGAAACGAGGGGCGGCTGCTGCAGCACTCGATTCCGTGCTGGGCGCGGTCACTGCTTGTGCGGAGAAGAAGGGGAAGATAACAGAATTCTTCGGCGACGAGGCAACGTGCGCCAAGGAGGACGCGGATAACGCGCTTTGCCTAATGATCTCGGCGCTGAAGCTTCCAGAGCGCATCGTGGATGATCCGGTCTTCCGCTACGCGGTCCAGTGCTTTGCGCGCGCGGGACCGGGGTATGTTCCCCCCAAGAGGGGCTACGTTGGAGGGGCGGGCTTGAAGAAAGTGCGGCAGAAAATGGAGGCAGCGCTCGCCCCCGTTGCCGCGAGCTGGAAGCGGGACGGTGTCACCGTGTCGTCGGACATGATGACCGACCGTTGTGGCCGGCCGCAGGCCAACATACTCCTTGTCAACGACTCCGGCGCAGTTTTCGAGCAGGCCGTGGACTGCAACATGGAGTCGAAGACGGGGGGGTACATCGCCAGCCTTCTCCGCCCCGTCATTGATAAGGTGGGGCCGGAGAATGTGGTGGCGGTCTGCACCGATGGCGGCAGCAACTATGCATCGACAGCGCGGAAGATTGCGGGCACATGGCCGCACATTGAGCATGTGCCATGTGCCAAGCATGTCCTGGACCTGTTAATGGAAGATGTGGGCAAAATGGGATGGGCGAAGGGGCTTGTGGAGAAAGGAGGGGAGATGATTACCTTCGTGCGCAACCACCACTTCACCCGTGCCTATATGAAGAAAGTGGGGGGGAAGCAGGTGCTCAAGCCTGCGGGAACCAGGTTCGGGACACAATACATAGCCATGGCCCGGCTATGTGAGGTGAGGAGTGGGCTGGCGGCGATGGTGCTCAGCGACGAGTGGAAGGTGTGGGCAGCGGGGGACAAGGATAGGAAGACTGCAGCCGAGAAATTCAGGGCTGCTGTGATGGATGAGGAGTGGTGGGGGTGGCGGAGTTCTTTTCCTCTCTCATGGCGGTGCCATTCAAGGCCATGCGGGCCACGGACTCTTCCGCGAAAGGCATGATGGGTAAGCTGTATGACATTATGCTACAGCTTACCGAGGACATCAATGACAAGCTCGACGCTTCAGGCGACGTCTTGACTCGGACAGAGAGGGCAGACATCACCAAGATTGTGAAGGACAGGTGGGACAACTCCCTTGCCTGCCCCATGCATGTGGTTGGCCGGATCCTGAATCCGGCCAACCAGGAGGAGGGAATTTTCAGGAACGATGTGGAGTGCACGAGGGTGTTCAAGGACTACATCGAGCGCCACTATGACCACGTCACCTTCAGGCGCGGCAAGGATGGTGCCCCTCGCCGCGCCTCCCTTGTGCTGCAGGAGGCATTGCTGGCCTACATCAACTTGGAGGGCAGTTTTGGCAAGCTGAGCGCCATAGCTGCAAGGGAGGCAGTGAAGAAAGGGGAGATGAGCATGGTGCAGTGGTGGTCGTGGCACAACACCGAGTACCCTGAGCTTGCCACCCTCGCATGCCGGATTCTCACTCAGCCCGTCTCGGCTTCTTCATGCGAACGTGGCTGGGCGCAGTGGGAAGGCGTCCACACCGCCCGCCGCAACCGCCTCGGGTCCGCCAAGTGTGCGGACCTGGTTTACATTGCGCACAACTGGAACGTTGTGCGCAATTGGTACAACAAGGATGGGGCCAGCACGGTTGTGCCCGTGAACATCCCGGATGCCCCTATCCCCCGCGGCTACAACATGGACGAGGAGGAGGAGGATGACCTGCTGGGGGGGGAAGGAGATGATGCAGTGCTGGCGGATGAGTATGGGGAAGGGGTGGTGGTGGAAAAGCCCCGCAAGGAAATAGGCTGTGGGGAAGCTCGCTAGAGGGTGGGGATTATGTGGATGAACTATGTATTTCTGGATATTTATGAAATAAAATATTGACATGTGTTGTTGTCGGCCTGAACCCCCCCCCTGAAACAGGTTTTTTTATACCTGCCCGGGAAAAAAAGTTTTAGCTGCCCGCCAGCGTATTTTTGCGTATCAGCAGTACGCCAGCCTTGGCGTACCGCGTATATACCAAGCGTATAATACGCTAACGTATTATACTCGGTACTCGTCTTTAGCAACGTAGTCCCTCCCTCCCTCCCTCCCTCCCTCCCTCCCTCCCTCCCTCCCTCCCTCCCTCCCTCCCTCCCTCCCTCCCTCCCTCCCTCCCTCCCTCCCTCCCTTCCTCCTCCCTCCCTCCCTCCCTCCCTCCTCCCTCCCTCCCTCCCTCCGTCCCTCCCTCCCTCCCTCCGTCCCTCCCTCCCTCCCTCCGTCCCTCCCTCCCTCCCTCCGTCCCTCCCTCCCTCCCTCCGTCCCTCCCTCCCTCCCTCCGTCCCTCCCTCCCTCCCTCCGTCCCTCCCTCCCTCCCTCCGTCCCTCCCTCCCTCCCTCCGTCCCTCCCTCCCTCCCTCCGTCCCTCCCTCCCTCCCTCCGTCCCTCCCTCCCTCCCTCCGTCCCTCCCTCCCTCCCTCCGTCCCTCCCTCCCTCCCTCCGTCCCTCCCTCCCTCCCTCCGTCCCTCCCTCCCTCCCTCCGTCCCTCCCTCCCTCCCTCCGTCCCTCCCTCCCTCCCTCCGTCCCTCCCTCCCTCCCTCCGTCCCTCCCTCCCTCCCTCCGTCCCTCCCTCCCTCCCTCCGTCCCTCCCTCCCTCCCGTCCCTCCCTCCCTCCCTCCGTCCCTCCCTCCCTCCCTCCGTCCCTCCCTCCCTCCCTCCGTCCCTCCCTCCCTCCCTCCGTCCCTCCCTCCCTCCCTCCGTCCCTCCCTCCCTCCCTCCGTCCCTCCCTCCCTCCCTCCGTCCCTCCCTCCCTCCCTCCGTCCCTCCCTCCCTCCCTCCGTCCCTCCCTCCCTCCCTCCGTCCCTCCCTCCCTCCGTCCCTCCCTCCCTCCGTCCCTCCCTCCCTCCGTCCATCCATCCATCCATCCATCCATCCATCCATCCATCCATCCATCCATCCATCCATCCATCCATCCATCCATCCATCCATCCATCCATCCATCCATCCATCCATCCATCCATCCATCCATCCATCCATCCATCCATCCATCCATCCATCCATCCATCCATCCATCCATCCATCCATCCATCCATCCATCCATCCATCCATCCATCCATCCATCCATCCATCCATCCATCCATCCATCCTTCCATTTATCCTTCCATCCATCCATCCATCCATCCATCCATCCATCCATCCATCCATCCATCCATCCATCCATCTTTGTATCCATCCATCGATCCTTCCATTTATCCATCCATCCATCCATCCATCCATCCATCCATCCATCCATCCATCCATCCATCCATCCATCCATCCATCCATCCATCCATCCATCCATCCATCCATCCATCCATCCATCCATCCATCCATCCATCCATCCATCCATCCATCCATCCATCCATCCATCCATCCATCCATCCTTCCATTTATCCATCCATCCATCCATCCATTTATCCATCCATCTATCCACGTGTCTCCCTGTGCTCTTGCTCCCTTCGCTGCACCATGCAATGCAGGTTCTTATTCAACACCGCTGCCTCAGGCTCTTTTCCTGCGTCCATCTCACGCCTTTCTCACCTCACCATGCTGTGAGCATGTGCCATGCACTGCCAAGCATGTGCCATGCACTGCCAAGCATGTGCCATGCACTGCCAAGCATGTGTCATGCACTGCCAAGCATGTGCCCGTGTTTCCAAGTTCATATTGGGAGTAGCAGCAAACCTGAAGATATCGCTTAAGCAAAAGGATCAAGACTAGTAAAACTTGTTCCTAGAAATTCAAGAAAATCTCAGAGCCTCCAAACTCGAAAAACCCTTATTCGCAAACTAGTTTCGGCCAACGGGACAGAACCCCGCTAAGCCTTCATCAGTGCTGCTTACAGGTTCACAAGAAAGAGAAGCCACGGACAGCAGCTAGCTAAGTACCTGCTACTGCCCTCGAGATCTGCTTATTGTACACCAACTACCCAGATTGCAATTCATACGCAGTCGCCAACTAAGCAAGGGGGTAAACCCAATGTGCTCTGTCAGCCTTCGGAAAGTCTTCAAACGACTTCATCGCTTCGGTAAACGCGCACGCACTAGTAGCCTTTGCAGGTTACGAGAACACTTCCAAGCAGTTATAATTCTCTCCACATAAAACCCGCGTGAGTCGAGACGATTTTTGAGGTGCCTCAAAAATCATGTGCCATGCACTGCCAAGCATGTGCCCGTGTTTACACTCTTTCGTTCCAGCCACCCTCGACTTTTTGGGGCAGCTAGAAGCGTGACAACAGTGCATCAGCTCCTTGCTTGCTTGTGCAGCGTTCATATCACGCCACACAAAGACATACAGGACAGCCCAGGTTTGCACTACCACCACCAGTGGCTGACCTCAGCTCAGACCCTCCGATTGCCACCACAGACCACCCCACCCACCCTATGCATGCTCTTGTTTTGTCTCATGCACGCACCAATCCTGTAACTCACTCACTCACTTCGCTCTCTCCATTCCCTTCAATCCCCAGCCCGCTGCTTCATCCTTCTACCCACCTGCCGTGCCGCCACACCTCCAGTCAGATGAGCAAGATCCCAATCTTCATTGAATGAGCAAGAGCCACTCGTCAGATCAGCACTGAAGATTAGGATCTTGCTCATTCACCTCATTCACCTCATTCACCTCCTTCACCTCGTTCACCTCGTTCACCTCGGATTCTGCTTTGCTATTGCATCCGCCCTCCACCTGCCTTGCCGCCACGCCTTGCCTCCAGGGTGATCAGCAGGACCAACTTCACAGGCACCCTTCCTGCGTCCCTGGGCCAGATGCGCAGTCTCTCCCACTTGTGAGCTCAAATAGAATTCTCCCTGTATAAAAACCGCGTTGCGCGTTATGAGACGATTTTTTAGGCGCCTCAAAAACCCTTCCCGCGTCCCTGGGCCATATGTGCAGTCTCTCGCACTTGTGAGCTCCAACCCCTTTCGTACTAGAGCACCTCAATTGCCCTGTTTAAAACCTGAAGGCTCCTCCTCGTGCTAGAAGCTGCACCAACGTGTGCTCACTGTGGGTACCAACACATGAACAGAACAAACAAACAAAACCAACCAACCAACCAACAAAGAAACTAACTAACTAACTAACTAACAAAGAAACAAACCAAACCAACCAACAAACAAACCAACTTACAAACCAACCAACCAACCAACAAACAAACAAGCTGGGTACAAAGCTTGCCACTACGGCTTTGGAGTGCCATCTATGCACCTGCAAGGTGCCCTGTAGAATCTGTCTAACTCCTGTGAAGCAAGGTATCCATGTCTGTCCAGTTATCCCCTGCCATGCCACGTGTCCCCTCCTCTCCTCGCTCGCGCCCAGTTACCTGGATTACACAACAATGGTGGGGTCCATTCCAGCATCCCTGGGTAACCTCACTGGCCTTCAGGATATGTAAGGCTCGTGCTCTGCTCTGCTCTGCTCTGCTTTGCTCCTTTCTGCTCTGCTCTGCTCCTTTCTGCTCTGCTCTGCTGTGGTGTGCTGTGCCATAATTCCAATAAACTCGTCTCAAAAGGCATGGTGTACCTCTGTTGTACCAGCAAACCGTCCACCACTCCCCTCCTCTCAACTAACTCCCTTCCTCTCCCCTCCCCTCTCCACTCCTCTCTTCCCCTCGCCTCCCCTCCCCTCCCCTCCCCTCCCCTCCTCTCTCCTCCCCTCCTCTCCCCTCCCCTCCCCTCCCCTCCCCTCCTCTCTCCTCCCCTCCTCTCCCCTCCCCTCCCCTCCCCTCCCCTCCCCTCCCTCCGTTCGCTCCTCGCCTACCACAGCTCGTTCCAGCCCATCAGCAACACGGTGGGGCCTAGGTGCGGCAAGGGGGGGGCGTGCGTGGTAAACCAGACTGCAGAGTCCGCCTTCTGCAACTCCTGCCTGGACTTCTGCATCTCCTGCTCGCCGCCGGGCCTCTGTGCTGGCTGCAAAGGTGCGTGTCAAGCCGCCGGTCAGTGAGTAGGGATTAGCTGGGATGGCATATTATGACTTACACCTTGATGACTAGGAGATTCCAGTCCTTTTTTTTCCGTAATGGCAATTTGTTTGACATCTCTCCTCTTTCAGTGTCTCCACCCCAGCCACCGCCGCCACCAGCAAGCAGTGGCAACAGCAGCAGTAGCAGCAGCGGCGGCGGCGGCAGCAGCAGCAGCAGCAGCGACAGCGGCGGCGGCTTATCGATGGGGGCAACCATCGGCATCGTGTGTGGGGTGGCGGTGGTGCTGCTCGCCCTGCTGCTCGCCGTCCTCTTCTTCCTCTACCGGAGGAACAAGGTCTCTCGCTTCGGTGAGCCCTCTCATCTCACTGGTCTCTTGCAAAAGAGCATTCGGCTTCTCTCACATTGGTAATCATTGTCACTTGCTCGCATTGTCACTTGCTTGCATCATCATTCCCACTGGCACTATATCCACCCCCAAAACCACCACCACCGCTACCATTCGACGACCATACAGGTGCACTGGCGGCGGGCGTGTGTGTGGAGTTCACAATGAAGGAGATGCAGCAGGCCACCAACAACTGGGCGGACGCCAACCTGCTGGGGTCAGGGGGCTTTGGAGACGTGTTCAAGGGCGTGTCTCCTCAAGATGGCGCCACGCTGTGGGCTGTGAAGCGCGCCAAAGTGATCACCAACGACTTCCAGCGCGAGGTGCGTGTGTGAGAGTGCTGTCGTGTCTTGCAATGGAAAAATATTTTTTTAATGCAAGAGAACATGAGAGCTATGGCACACACACATGTCTGTCAGCGCATATGCAAGGGATGCATATGCAATAACAGTAGAGTGCGGTGCTGTGAAGTAGTATAGAAAATAGCTAAGAATGCATTGAAATAGATAGATAAGAAGTAGTGTAGGAAGTGTAGCCAGTAGCGAAGTGTCGGTTGGAAAGGGGTGTAGAAAGGGGGAAATATGTGGGAGCGGTTGGGATGAAGGGGGAAAAGCACCGAAGGGCGAAATGTGGGATTCGAACAAATCCCAACCTCGAGCCGCACATTGGAAATGTGCAAGCCGAGGTTGGGTAAGGTCACCCACGCCCACTCACACGATGCCTATTGTTCAGTATTCTTTCATACTAGTGCAGGGCTGTCATCCTAGCTACTACACGCGGTGGCACAACACTAAGAATGAACCGGTGGGGTGAGGGAGTAATCACGTTCATACTGAACAATAGGCGCGACACGCAGTCATGGATAAATATGAGCTACGTTGGGGTAGGGTGTTTAGTCGCCGGGAGGAGGAACGAGCACGAGGTGAGCCGTCATGCGAGCGCGGGCGATCTCTGGAGCGCTCGCCGCGAAGGCCGGCATTTCGCGCAGATAGAGTTCCCATCGCTGGGGACCGACGGGCGGAAGGGAGGCCTAGCGTGGCAGCGGGTGGAGAAGGATACGCCGCAAGCGCGGACGGAGACGTGTGGCGAAGAGAGCATGATCGCGGAGATGGATACGGGAGTGGAGACCGACGCGCTGTGGGAGTGTTCCGCTCGCCGGAAGAGCGCGGGCGCCGCCGTGATGAGAGGGGCCGTTGGCAGGGCGTCGAGCGATTCGACGCCGACCAAGGAGGGGAAGCCGCCGAAAAGGAAGAAGCATGGGAGACGTCCGGCGAGGAAGAGGCAGAGGAGGACGCAGCGAGCCTGGAACGGGCGGTCGAAGACGCCAACGGAGAAGATGACGGCGAGGAACCCGCGGCTGGGATCGGAGGCGCCGAGCCTGAAGAGGCGGACATTGCCGGGGGCGCAAGCCAGGCAGGGGCGGAAGGATCGCGGTCGGGACGGTCGGAATCGCGCGGGCGCGACGCAAGCCGCCAGGAGGAGCATTACGCGGAGAGGTCGCGTCAGCAGGAGCGGCGGGACTGGGGCGTGCGTGCCGGCGCTGTGGGGACGCAAGGAGAACGCGGCATAAGGGAGGAAGAGGGACCGCGCGCGTCAGGGGAAGGATCGCGGCGCTGGGAGCGGCCTTCTGTTAACCCTCGCGCACTCGACTGGCGCCAGGCACAAGGGGGCTGGGGCGAAGACGGCGCACGATCGCCGGACAGGCAGTTGAGGCACAAGGGAGGATGGGAGGGCGAGCCACGCGCAGCCAGCCACCACTGGCGGCGGGAAGAAGGACGCGAGGAGGGGCCCAGTTCGTCAGAGAGGCGCGGCCAGCGGCAAGAGGGGCGCGGCGGGGAGGCACGGACGTCCGGCCCGCAAGCGCAATGGGAGAGGAGGGTGAGCGGCGGATTCCGCTCGCCTCTCGTCCGGCAGCAGTGGGGAGGAGAAGGCGGCGGAGACAGGCGCTCGCCCGGAGATCGTCGGCAGCAAGGGAGGGGAGAAGCATGGGAACCGTCGCCAGAGAGGCAGCGGCAGCGAGAGACGAGCACGGCGAGGTGGAGAGAGACACGAGTCTCGCCGGCACGAACGCGAGGGCGTGCGGGAGAGGAGAGGGGCCCGAGAGAAAGGCACGGTGACTCGGGCTGGAACCGGCGGGAGAGCAGAGCTGGAGGAGGGAGCTTAGCATATGGCGCTGAGCGGGCCCGAGAGGCCAGGGAAGGCCTGGAGAGGGCCAAGGAGAGAAGGACTGGGGAAGAGCGGCTGGGAGGGGCCAGGGAATCGTGGGGAGAAGGGCGGGGAAGTACAGCCAGCGTGACGCGGGTGGAAGTGCCGGCGAGGTTCTCGGGGGACCAACGGGTGGGGCCGGCCCTCAAGAATTACTTGATGCAGGTGGGGAACGTGAAATACCGATGTGACAGGCAAGGCATGGACCCAATAGACTTCTTCTTGAGCCTGCCCAACACACTGGAGGGAGAGGCGGAGACGCTGTACCGCATGAGGATGGACGAGCTGCTGTGGAGGGCAGGGAGGTACGGGGAGGATCCCACCGAGGCATTTCTGGAGCGGCTTCAGCGTCAATTCCCGGGACACACGGCGGAGCGCATAAAGGAGTTTCAGGAGTTCAGGAGGGGACGGACAGAACCCCTACTGACCTACTACAACCGACTGATAAACTTGGCGGAGGATGTGAAATGTTCGGACAGCAGCCTCCTCATCAGTAAGTTTCTTGGAGGCCTGGACGAAACACTGGGGGGGGGACTGAGGATGAGGGTGTACGAGTTGGGGGCGGATGCGGCACTGGAGGAGGTGTTTGACCTGGCAGAAAGGGTGGAGCTAGCACAAAGGAGGTATGAGGCCTACCTGCCGAGGCCGACAGAGAGGAGCCGCAGACCGACATGGGCGGCGGCTATGATACCAGAGGAGCGAGGGAGGGTGGACCCACACGGGGAAGAGAGAGCCGACGCGCGCACCTGCTACAGGTGTGGACAGATGGGGCACCTCCGCAGAGAGTGCAAAAACTGTGATGGATGTGGGAAGCCTGGGCACCGGAAACGAGAATGTCCTGATGCGGCGAAGTGTGAGATCTGCGGGAAGAAGGGGCACGAGGCCAAGGAGTGTTACCAGCGGGAGGGAGGGGCAAGGAGGAAACCAGAGGAGCTGCAGTGGCAGATCAGCAGGCTGCAGTCTCAACTGCAGGCCATGGGGTCAGGGTGGGGAGCGGAGGCGGGGATGTACGCTAGGGACGAGGAGGGAGAAGGGGTGGAGCCGGACGTGCAGTGTGCCCTCATGGCCTGGAGAGGCAGGGAAGAGATGGGGCTGCGTAGCGGGGGGAAGGATGGCAGGCAGGAGCATAGCCGGAAGCCACGTGAGCAGGGGTTCAGGCCGGACGCGCCAGGAGGAGAGAAGACCCCAGCCCGCCACCCGCAGGAAAGACTCGTGTGCCAGACCTCGGTGCTGCTCGTGGAAGCAGGAGCGGTGGAAGTGGGGGGGATGAAGGTAAAGACGGCGATCGTTGACACAGGAGCACAGAGCGTGATGCTGGGTAAGGGGATGGCCGAACGGTTGGGGCTGATGGCCCCTGAGAGGCACGTGGCGAAGGGGATGTTAGTCATGACGGCAGAGGGAGGGGAACCAAAGTGGATGCCGTGCACACGGACCCCCATAGAGTTGACACTGCTGCCAGGAGGGGAGCATGAAACAAGGATCAGGATGAAGTGTGGAATCTCGGAGTCCGAGGACTTTGATCTGCTGATGGGGACGGGATTGGTGTTCGCTGTAGGCATGAGCATATGTACCTGGACGGAGAAGGTGGAGTTCCGAACGAGGTACTGGAAGAAGGAGGGACCATTGGGGCAGCTGCCAGTGCAGTTTGTAAGGGTGGAGCCGAAGCGGGCCTATCATGTCGGAGCAGGAGGGGCACAGAGGGGGCAGAGAGGAGCAGCAGAGACCAAGGAGGGGCCCAGGATGAAGCTGATGGACAAGCCGGGGCAGCAAAGCGATTGGCAGCAGCCCATCCGGCTAGTAGAGTTGTTCGGAGGAATCGGGGCAGGGCTGGCGGCAGCAGTGAGGAGTGGGATTGCAGTGCAGCAGTGGGTCTATGTGGAACAGGCACCACAGATGAGAAGGATGGCTGAGCATCACGCGCAGAAGCTGAGAGCTGAGTTCCCCGACCTCCTGAGTGAGAAGGTAATTCAGGAGGCCATGAGCAGTACGGTGCACGATGTGAGTCAGATCACAGAGGAGCAGGTGGCCAGCTGGGGGCAGGTGGACCTGCTGGTGGCGGGATGGGAGTGTCAAGGGGTGTCATGGGCAGGAAAAGGGAAGGGAGGGGAGGACCCGAGGACGAAGCTGATGGACAACCTGTTCAATATCCTGGAGTGGCTGCAAGAGAGGCAGGGCAGAGTGGCTTACTTGCTAGAGAATCTGGATCTAGAAGGGGATTGTAGAGAGCCGATTCGGCTGGTGAGGGAGAGGATTGGCCGGCACTTGGGAAAAGGGATGAGCTGTGATGCAGCCAGGGCAGGGTCGTGCGCTCACCGCCTCAGGATGTACTGGCAGAACGTGGTTCCCGTGCTGGATCTGCAGGAGGAAGCAGAGGGGATGAGGAGGGCTACAGGGAGGAGGGTGGTGGACATCCTGGAGCCGGGACGGACTCCCGCGCCAGTTTGTCAAAAAAGTTACAGCAGGCACTACCCGTGCAACCAGGTGGGGCAGGACAGGAGGGCTCTGCCCACCTTGGTCGCTTTTGCAGAGGCAGCAGGCTACAGGTGGGAAGGGGGGGAGCCCGGACCCGGGCTGATATATGACCACAAGCGGGGACGGTGGGAGGAACCGACGGCATTAGAGAGGGAGCTGGCTATGGGATATGGAGAAAACGTGACGGCAGCACCAGGGGTGAGCGAGGAAGACAGGAGGAGGGCACTGGGGAATGCCATGGATGGCTACATGATGAGGTGGCTGGTGCAGAGGATGTGGCGAGAGATGGTCTTGGGCGGGGGGCAAGAGGCAGATAAGGCGGCGGCAGCAGCAGCCCCACAAGGAGCATGGACCTGCCAGGAGGAGGAAGGAGAGAAGTGGACAGTGGGGGAAGCGATGAGTGAAGAGGGAAGGGAAGCTATGCTGGGACTGCTGGCCAAGCATAGGAAGTGCTTTGCCTTCACACTGCAAGAACTGGGAAGGTGCAAAGTGAAGGAGATGGAGCTGAAACGGAGCAGCACAGAGCCGGTGTTCCAACGGCGTAGGGAGATGCCGCACGGAGATGAAGAGATATGCAAGGAGAAGATTAAGGAGCTGCTAGCGGCCGGACTGATCCGGCGCTCAGAATCAGAATACGCCACACCAACAGTGGTGGCAGCGAGGAAGGACTTAACAGGGGAGATCCTGAGCAGGAGGATGTGCGGAGATTACCGAGCGCTCAACAAGATTACCGTGGCGGACAGGTACCCAATGCCGATGGCGGAGGAGATATTTGACAAGTTAGCAGAGGGGGTGTTCTTCACGACGCTGGACCTGCGGCAGGGGTTCAATCAGATAAAAATCAGGGAGGAGGACGTTAGGAAGACGGCATTCCACGGGCCGGATGGGCTGTACGAGTGGCTTTACATGCCATTCGGGCTGAGGAACGCATCAGCAGTGTTTCAGAGAGTCATGGATGCAGTGCTGAGGGACGTAGAATGTGCAGCGTGCTACATAGATGACGTGGTGATCTTCAGCACCTCCGAACAGCAGCACCTGCAGGATGTGGAGAAGACACTGGCAGCAATAGAAGCAGCAGGACTCACGTGTCACCCGAAGAAGTGTAGGTGGGGTGAGCAGACCGTTCAGTATCTGGGCTACGAGGTGAAAGGGGGGCAGATCGGGATCCAGCAAGCGAAGGTGGAGGTGCTGGATAGGCTGCAAGAACCAAAGGACAAGACAGGGCTGAGAGCGGTATTGGGGTTCCTGAGTTACTACCGGCGATTCGTGCCCAACTTCAGCAGGCGGGCAGCGGTGTTGAACGGACTGTTAAGGGAGGACAAGACATGGGAGTGGGGGGAAGCGCAGAAGGGGGCATTGCAGGACCTGATGACGGCAGTGAAAACAGCAACCGTCTTGCAGCTGCCAGCAGCGGACCAACCCTTCACCCTCTACACCGACTGGAGCAGCCAAGGGATGGGCGGGATACTCTGCCAGGAGGTGGAAGGGGATGAGAAGGTGGTGGCCTACGCGAGTAGGAGCTGCAACTCGGTGGAGGCACAGTACAGCTCGTACACAGGGGAGGGACTGGCGGTAGTATGGGCTGTGGGGCACTTCAGGGTCTATCTGCAGGGGCGGGAGTTCACCCTGGTGACGGACCACCAGCCACTGATATGGCTGATGACTACACCAGGGTTAACAGGCAGGAATGCACGATGGGCAATGAAGCTGCAGGAGTATGACTTCAAAATCAAGCACAGGCCAGGAAAAACCTTGCAGCATGTGGACGGCCTCTCCCGTAACCCCCCACCGCTAGAGCCAACAGCGACTCTTGCGCTGCTGGCCAGACAGGTGGAGCTGAGCGGGGCCAGGAGGAGCAAGGGGCCAGCTGATATCTGGGAGGATGAGCAGGCTGTGAGATGGGTGAAGGGAGAGACAGGGGCAGACGAGGAGATGAGCGAGAGGGTGAGAGCAAGGGGGCACCACTACAGGTGGTACCAGCAGCAGTTGCAGATACAGACCGAGGGTGGGTGGAAGCTGGTGCCGGCCCCAGGCGAGAGGGAAGCAGTGATAAAGGAGGTGCACTCAAAGCTGGGGCACTTCGGGCATGAGAGGACAGTGCAGTTGTTGAAGACGGGCTGGTGGTGGGAGGGAATGCGCAGGCAGGTGCAGAAGTGGGTGGAGGGATGTGAGGCCTGCCCAAAAAGGCGAGCAAACCTGACCCAAGCCAAGGCCGAGCTGCAGTCCCTGCCCATCCGCGGGTTAGGCTTCAGATGGTCCTTGGACCTGGCGGGGGAACTGCCACTGAGCCGGGGGGGGAAACGGTACATAGTGCTCATGGTGGAGCACGTGAGCAAGTGGCTGGAGGTGAGGGCTATCCCCAGCAAGAGCTCAAGACATGTGGCAGCAGCATTCAAGGAGCAAGTAATATGCAGATTTGGGGCGTGTGCAGAGGTGCTCACCGATCAAGGCACAGAGTTTCAAGGGGAGTTCAGGGAGCTGTTAGAGGAAGTAGGAATCACCCACAGGCGCACCTCTCGGTATCACCCACAGAGTGATGGGCTGACCGAGCGCCTAGTGCAGACGTTGAAGCGAGGGCTGCGGGCATATGGGGAGAAAAGGAAGCGGGAATGGGACAATGAGCTACACTGGATTGCGGCAGGCTATAGGTTTGGGAAGCAGGCTGCCCTGAGAGACCATTCACCCTACAGCCTTCTGTTTGGTTGTGAGCCGGTGCTACCTGTGGGGGCACCACGGGTCCTCACGGATACAGTGACAGCAGACACCATAGACAACTGGGTGGCCTTGTCAGAGGCCAGGGCAAGGTACCTCCGAGTGATAATGCCAGCAGCGCTAGAAAACCTACACACGGCACAGCTGAGAGACGCCAGACGTTATGAGCAACGCCAGCAGCAGGGGATGTTGGGAAGGAGAGAGAAAAAGGGAGCAAGTGGGCAGGAGGTGTACCTGAAAAGGGCGAAACAGGACACGCTGGACGTCGGGGTGGGGACCGAGAGGTGGAGAGTGAAGGAAGTTCGGCCCTCGGGGATTCTCGTGCTGGAGAACAAAAAGGGGACACAGCTGAAGGAGCACCAGACCAACACGGCCCTGGTGAGGGGGAGCAAGCCTCAGCAAGCTGGTCCTGTGACACGAGCTCGAGCTACCCAAGCACGGGCACAGGAGGGGGCAGTGAGTGACTGAGGCAGGGCAGCACAGAGCAGGGAGTGTTGAAGAAGAACAACAGGAAGAAGAGCAGGTGCTGGTGAGGGTCACACACTCCGACAGCTGTCAGCGCATATGCAAGGGATGCATATGCAATAACAGTAGAGTGCGGTGCTGTGAAGTAGTATAGAAAATAGCTAAGAATGCATTGAAATAGATAGATAAGAAGTAGTGTAGGAAGTGTAGCCAGTAGCGAAGTGTCGGTTGGAAAGGGGTGTAGAAAGGGGGAAATATGTGGGAGCGGTTGGGATGAAGGGGGAAAAGCACCGAAGGGCGAAATGTGGGATTCGAACAAATCCCAACCTCGAGCCGCACATTGGAAATGTGCAAGCCGAGGTTGGGTAAGGTCACCCACGCCCACTCACTCGATGCCTATTGTTCAGTATTCTTTCATACTAGTGCAGGGCTGTCATCCTAGCTACTACACGCGGTGGCACAGCACTAAGAAGGAACCGGTGGGGTGAGGGAGTAATCACGTTCATACATCAGGACTCCCATCACCCCCTCACAAGCCCGTGTGTACCCTCTCCCGTGTGCACGGCGCAGGTGCACGAGATGGCAACAAAGCACCACCCCAACCTGGTGCGCCTACTGGGCTACGCCACGTGTGGGGACCTGCGGGAGCGCATCGAGCAGATCCTCGTCTACGAGTTCATCTCCAACGGGGACCTCGATAAATGGCTCAGCGCAGGTGGGTGGTGTGGTGTACGGTTGTTTGGTACTGTGCAGTGGTCCCTGCTGCGGTGACCAAGGCGTTTCTCGCCTCATCCCCGCATCCCCGAATCCCTGAATCCCTGCATCCACTGCCTGTGTGCATGGTGGCTGTGCAGACGCTCCCTCGCCCCTCACGTTGAGGCAGCGGCTGGACATTATCGTGGGAGCAGCGCGTGGGTTTGAGTACCTCCACAGCTTTGGCATCGTGCATCGTGACATCAAGCCCGCTAACATCCTGCTGGATAGCAACATGCAGGTGAGTGCATGCTAGTGGTAAGCGCAGCAGCACAAGGAAACAGCTACGGTATTTAAGAAGCAGCAGCACTGTCTGCTGTCCGATCAAAATAACCCTCTCCCTTTCTCCTCCTAACTAGTTTCACCTTCCCTTTGTCCATCCATCCACCCATCCACCCACCCACCCACCCGCCCGTGCACGCCCCTTATCACCGCTCCTAACAGCCCAAGGTGGCTGACTTTGGTCTCGTGCGAGTGGAGGAGGGCACCAGCGCACAAGCCACGCGGGTGATGGGCACATCGGGCTATGTGGACCCCGCTTACGCTCGCACACGCAAGGCCACTCCAGCCACTGATGTCTACAGGTGGGCTTGCATATAGGTGCTCACGTGTTGGTGTGTATAGGTGCTGGTGTGCTCATGTGTACATGCGCACATAATCATGCTTCTTCCGAGTGTCTCCCGATGCGAGAGGCTCAAGTGCTGGAGATGATTGCTGAATTAGTATGCTCATTGGCTTTGCTGACCTCTTGCTCTTTTGCATGCTTGCCTCTTGCATGTATGTGCATTCGTATGTTGCTCTGTATGCATATGCTTGTGCGTGTGCATGCATGTGTGCGTGTACGTGTGCCTGTGCATATGTGCTTGCGTGTGGATGTGCACGCCTTCTTGTGTGTGTGTGTGTCTAATCGTCCCCGTGTGCACTTGTGTGCGTGCGTGCATGTGAGCACATGTGCATGGGTGCTGCAGTTTTGGTATTCTCATGTTGGTGGTGCTCACGGGCAAGCCTGCCACATATGAGGACGACAAGAACCACTCCAGGGGCATCCTCAAATGGGTGTGCACACCTTCCTCCTTCCACCTTCCTCCTTCCACTTTCTCCTTTTCTCCACCTTCTCCCTCTCTCCCCCTTCTCATTTTCCCTCAGCATAATCTGTGCCTCAGTCCTGCACCCTCGCTGTCCCTATCCCACCTCCACCCACCCCTCCACCTCCCCAACCTCCCCTTCTCCGCCCACTCCCAGCATCCGCTGCCAATAACCTTTTTCTACCTCTCACCTCCTTCCACCACTTTCCACCTCGTCTCACTCTCCCCACAACACCCGCAGGTCCAGGAGAAGGTGGGCCAGGGTTCATTAGAGGAGATCGCAGACCCGTGCATGGGCACCGTCTCACCAGACGCCCTGCAGCGCATCGCAGACCTGGCCATGCGCTGCACTGCCACCTTCACTGCTGACCGCCCCTCCATGGGCCGCATCGCCCAGGAGATGGATGCGCTGCGTGGTGAGGTGGGCGGTGGCGAGGAGCAGGTGCACAAGGCGTACGAGGTGGTGGATGCTGAGTTGAGGGCGAGGATGCAGCAGCAGCAAAAGATGAGTGAGCAGAGTATGGACTCTTTTCTTGATTCGATTCACTCGGGGAAGATCGGGAGCATGATGGACACGGGGGAGGTGATCACGGGTGATGCCTCCTTGAATGTGTGAACGTGAGTGAAGGGTGAGGTGCGGAACTAAGCAGAAGGAAGTAATGAGAGGACTATTTTTTTTGGAGATGTTTGAATTGGGATGAAATGACGCGCAATACTGTGCATTGCATCTATAGATAACTAGTCAAGTCCACGTTCTGGGTTTTGCTTTGTCTGTTCAGGTTCTTATAAATTGCCCTGAGTTTGAATGGTGACATTAGTGTTATATACTTGTAACCTGTTTATAAATATAATGTAAGTAGATTACATGGAAATACTTTATCATCCAAATACTACATGTAAGGCTTCACTGTAATCGGAAACCTGGATCAAGGTGTTCGCATCCGCGTTTTGCAACTGCCCGATTAGTCTCGTCCCTGCCGACAATTTCAGAATCTCCAATACGTGTTCCTGACAATGGTCAAAACGAAGTGTCAAGGTTCGCGTCACAAGGGACTCCACGCTGGGTCCGCAGGTGAGTTGTACAAACATGGAAGGATTATTCCAAGCGTCAAAACGTCCGAGTTTGAAAACATCTCCGCTTCTCCTCCCAGCCCAATCTCATATTCTCCCACCCGGTACTGAAAACCTCTCCAGCTTGTTTAGCTGACACCCAGAACGGTTCTTACCACCTATTTAGAGGGTCGACCACGTACCAAGTATTATTCTTCGCAAACATTGCAGCTTTTCACATTGTCATTCGCGAAACGTACGACCGGTTACAGCTAGTTTCGTTGTCGGTGACGAAACGAGAGCCAATTAGCGGGACGAGGCTCTGGTAGCCGTTGCAGGTGTCAGCGGGTGTGAGAGGGAGACTCCAATTTCAATCTGCTCCCATCAGATCTTCCTCCCGCTTTTCCTCCCTTTCCATGGCTGCCGCCACCTATGTTGCCTGAGACCTATTCGTTGGCCAATTAATCACCCGTTTTTGCCTCCATCCCGCCGAGCCGACAGCGCTGCGTGTCCATGTTGTAACTCTTCAACCCACCGACACGAATCCACCTATCCTGGAGCTTTTGACCTCCGATTTCGCGGTTGGGGTTCGATTATCCCTGACACGAGAATTCTCGACCAGTCCATCGAATTTCCGTTCAACCGTTGCGTTTTTTCGCGGTTCAACGTCGTTTCGATGAACGGTTGGGATTTTTTGCACGCTCTCTCGCGGTAGAATGTCGGTCGGTAGCCTTGGGGTTGGGTTGTGGCGAGGACCCACGCTTTCGTGCAGCAGCCTCGTTTTGCCTCATTCTAGTCCGCCTGCTTCGCGTTTTGCTGCCGTTTTCTCACTCTAGAATCTCCGCTCACGACGTTCCTTGCCAAAGCAACGTCGTACTCTTGTCGATCCAGAGCGTTCTGTGGAGTTCATACGGCATTCATGGACCAGATTTTGCTCGTGCAAGCCAGTCTTCGCTATTCGCCGTTAGCCTTCACCGCTCAGCGTTATTCTTTGGGATTTTACGTGGAAATGTCGATTTTCGACGTCCGTTTTTCGCGATTCACGTGAAATTTCGGTTTCGACGTCGATTTTCGCTGGACGTCGCCAACCTCTCCTGTTCCGCGTCGAGCTTAGCAATTCCGGTAAAAATAGCTCTGGATCGGATACCTCACGACTCTCGGGAAAGCAGCTAAAATTCGTTGATTCGCGATTCTCGGAAAAGCAGCTAATCGTGTGTCTCTCGCGACTTGCGGGAGAACGCACAACCATTTCGAGTCGTCCGGCATTCCAATCCGCCATTTCTCGCGCTTCCACGTCAACCGTCGCGACTTCGCCATCCGTTATACTTCGCGACTTCGCCATCCGTTACACTTCGCGACTTCGCCATCCGTTACACTTCGCGACTTCGCCATCCGTTACACGACTTCGCCATCCGTTACACTTCGCGACTCCGCCATCAGTTACACTTCGCGACTTCGCCATCCGTTACACTCGTCACCTAGTACGGAAGCTTTGGAGCTCGCTTTCTCTTCCGTGAAAGCTTTGTGTTTTCTACCCGCAATTTTCGTTTTCCCAGCAATTCTAACTCCCTGTGTCGCGTGACTTGGCAGACGCACCATCCTGAGCGGCAATGAGTGGAGATGGAGCAGGCCAAGGCGGGAACCATTGTCAACCGAGAGCAAGCGGGCGTCATCAGGCTCTGTTGGATGGCCGCCCTCCACTCCACCCATCACCACGCCAGGTACTCCCCTCGCTTCCCTCCTGCTCTCGCTTGCACCACGTTTTCTGCCCTCGTTTTCCACTGCTCTCCATGTCCTTGTGCTTTCCTCGCCATGCTGCTTTCCTCGCCATGCTGCTTTCCTCGCCCTCCTGCCCTCCTTCCTTCCATGTGCTGCTTGTCCCCTCTCGACCTAGCTGCCCCTCTGCGTCAATCTCCCTGCCTGCGCCGCCTCAATCTCCCACCAGATGCACGGATATGAGGGCGGATGGGCGGAAGGGCAAGCGGAGAGGCGAGGGAGGCAAGCAGCTGAGTGTCGTCCGCTCGCCTCGCCTCTACACGCAGCAGCAGCAGCCGTGCCTCCTCTCCACTCCACTCGCCTCTCACCCTCGCCACAGCTAAGTGCCCCACACTGCTCCTCTGCTCCTTGCTGCGCGCTGCCTTCCATGTAATGCCTGCACGCTCTTCCATGCTCGCTCCCTTGCTGCCGTGCGCCATCCCAGAGACCTCCCTCCCCCAAGGTACCAGGTATCTTTTCTTTTGGTACAGCCTCAGGTATTCATTTGACTTTGGTTCAGCCGGTACGAGGTCTCTCGGGTGTGCCACTGCAGCTGTCCACTCATGCACGCATCATTCTTGCAAGTTCAGCACTCGACGCTCTCTCTTCAGTCCTCTCCACACTGCCCTCCCGTCCCTGCCCTCCCTTCCCTCCCAGGCCTTCACAAACCAGGGGGACGGCAGCAGGCGAGCAGCAGGCGAGGGGAGCACCAGGGCGGGCAGCAGGAGCGCGGGCAGCAAGGCAGCAGCGGCGGCCTCATCAACGGTTTAGGTTGCAGTATCGCCCCTGCCACCACACTCCACTCGAGCCCACTCCCCCTCAGGTTCAGGTTCAGGTGCAGGTTCAGGTTTGTAGCGGCTCTTGTGGGGTTGTGTTTGGCGTCACATGCACTGTCTTTTCTGCTGTTGCACGTGTGTTTGACACTTTTCTCCATTGCAACCCCTCTTACTTTCGGCTGCCTTCCCTTTCCGCCCTGCCCTCCCTCCCCCTCCCTACCCTGCCAGGCCTTCACAAGCCAGGGGGGCGGCAGCAGGCGAGCAGCAGGCGAGGGGAGCACCAGGGCGGGCAGCAGGAGCGCAGGCAGCGGGGCAGCAGCGCCGGCCTCATCAACGGTTGAGGTTGCAGTATCGCCCTTGCCACCACACTCCACTCGAGCCCACTCCCCCTCAGGTTCAGGTTCACGTTCAGGTGCAGGTTCAGGTTGGTAGCGGCTCTTGTGGGGCTGTGGTTGGCGTCACATGCACTGTCGTTTTTGCACTCACACTGCTGTCAGAGTCTTGTCGTTTAAAAGAGTCACTCCTTCCCACCTGCCCCTTACTATCCTCCATCTCTCTCTCCCTTCTCTGCCTCGCAGGTCCGTCCCTTCAAGCCCCGCTCGCCTGTCCACTCTCCATCGAAGCACCCCCTCCGCCTGCACCACACAATCAGCTAAGTACCCGTTCCCCCATGCCCGCACCCTTGCCTGCCATTCCATTTCTTTCGTTTCATCTGCTGTTGCTCCGTCTTCTTGAAACAATGCCACTGGTTGAGTACTACTCACATGTTACAGACCCCCCAACTTCAGATAATTCCCTATAATAACCCCTTCAGGTGCAGGTACACCCCTCAGGTTTTTTTTCAGGGTCTGCAGCTTGTGGCCGTGCTTCAACCAGTGGCTCCTCCGCCCTTCCCTTGCGCTGGATTTCGAGTCACAGTCTCTCATTCAACTTGCTCCCACCACTGCGCTCTGACTAGCTCTGTGTGTGCGCATTGCAGGTGGCGGGGAGGGGTGTGGGGTCAACACCGACGCTCCCTCACGCCCCTCCCCTGTGGCCGTGCAGGGAGGAGGCACCTGGAGGAGGGCTGCTGCGGAGGGAGGCAGCAGGTGGTGCTTCAGCTGCCTTGAGCTCGCCCGCACGCCACCAGCTAAGTAACCCTCCTCCATGCCCTCACCTTCTTTGCATGTCATTTCGTTTGCTGGTTGTACGCTCTTCCCTTTGAAACAATGCCACTGGTCCAGCGCGGTTCACATGCCACAGACCCCCACACTTCAGGTATCTCCTCAGGTGCAGTGCAGGTAACCCTCTCAGGTGCAGGTCCCCTCTCAGGTGCAGGTTTCCCCTCAGGTGCAGGTTCCCTTGGCGTCTGTGGCGTGTGGCCTTGCCTCAACCAGTGGCCCTCTTTCACATTTGGCAGTTCCGGTCTCTGGCTTTGTTGTGCCCTTACCATGCATACTGACCACTGCCGTGTGTGTTCATTGCAGGTGGAGGGGAGGGGCGCTGGGGTCAACACCGACGCTTCCCCACGCCCCTCCCCTGTGGCCGTGCAGGGACTCGTGGGGACGGGAGGGAGGCAGCACTGCAGCATGGCAATCCCACTGCAGCAAGGGAGAGTATCGGGATGGGCTTGGCCTCTCAAGGTAAGCCTCTTACCTCTCTTTGCCGCTGCATTCGTTTTCTGCTAACTTGCCCTCTTGCGCTCATCCCTTTGATTCGCCCTTGCCTGTTTCAAGGCCTGCACTCACTCCCCACTTGACCTTCCCTTCCGTTCTGCCCCCCTCCAGGTCACTCGCAATGCAGCAGAGGCAGCTGACAGGACCAGTTGTGGCAGCATCAGCAGCGGGGAGCACGGATGCAGCAGTGGAGGGGAGGGAGGGGGAAGGCGGCATCTCCAAGGAGGCGGTTCTTCAGCTGCCAGCTAAGTGCTTTCGCCTCCCTGGACTCACTCTTGCCTGCTGCTCACTGCATCTCCTGTTTTCTTGACTCTCCAAATGCAAGCCTCCTGTTGAGCCAAAGCATCAAGCCACAGACCCCTTTTCTTGGGTAAACCCCC